AGGAGCACAGTCAAGGCAATAGACTAGCACATGGTAAAGAGGAAGGCGTAGGTAAAGGATGCTGTGTGTGTACACGGGCGCCCTATCCAACACAACGCTGAGGCTCCTTTGGGGAAGCAGCATGTAAAGTGAAACCTTCACATGTATAGAGTAGATAGAAATTAGAAGGAGTGAGGAGGTAAGAAGGAAGAGGCTGGTAAGAGAGGTGTAGGCCAAATACCGTGTCGGTGTTGGAACACAATTTGGCAAATGCAACTCAAGGTGGCTGTTGTGTAGAGGGCAGAAGGCACACAGGGGTGAGGCAATACTCGGCGAGTGTTTAGTACCCATGCACCTGAGGAACTGGTGCATTTTCTTGCAAAGCTGTGACTAACTCAGTAGAACGCACTTTGCATAGGCTTCTCTCTTCTCTGCATCACTTTCCTTTTCCCCTCACTGTCACTCTCCTGAAACTGCACCCAGCAATAAGGCATTTTACCACAGACTCTGTCTTCTAAGAGATTCAGGCTAAGACAGTGGTATAAATTCACGTTTGGTCACAAATAGGAGTTTATATTTGAATGAGATACCAGGGTTAACAATCACTCATTGCATGTGGTCTGCTGGAACCCGCACTATCATGACGTAATTGCAAGGTGCACAGCTCTTCAATGCCACACATTTTTGTCTTCAGTTGTAATACTCTATTGACCCTACACATGATAGCAAAGCAGTTCATCCATGACTTAAATGCATGCAGTAAATGAACATAAAACATCGTATTCTCCTCCCAGTGTGGTTGGTCGGCACAGCAGCTCAGGATGAAGTACATCCTGCTCCATCATAGAATTTTGTGTATCTAAATCATAACATAAGTTATTATCCACATTGATCAAGTCGCCTCAGAATAATATAAATCCCAGAGAGGCAATTATCACAGCTTGGTAAAGCAACAACTATTTAAGTACATCCTTCCCCAGAGATTTTAAAACCAACACACTTGGCTGAAAATCTCTATTATATAGCATTTGAAGCTATTACATATGCAAGGAAACATCAAAAAGTTTGTGGAAAATGAAATCAAGACAATTTTATTTTTTATGCAAAAACTTTGAAATCCATGAATAGTGTTTTTCATAAATGCACGTACCTGAACTTTTTGAAGAGCTTCATTTGAATGGATTTCCAAAAAAATTTTTTAAAGATTTATCTATTTATTTGAAAGGCAGAATTATAGAGAAGGAGAAGAGGGAGGGAAGGAGGGAGGGAGGGAGAGAGAGAGAGATTGATCTTCCATCTGCTGGTTCACTGCCCAAATGACCACAATGGCCAGGGCTGGGCCAGGCTGAAGGTGGGAGCCAGGAGGTTCATCAGGTCTCCCATGTGGATGTAGGGGCCCAAACATTTGGGCCATCTTCCACTGCCTTTTCCAGGCCATCAGCTGGTAGCTGGATTCAAAGAGGAGACATCAAGGCTTGAACTGGGCTGGCGCCGCGGCTCACTAGGCTAATCCTCTGCCTTGCAGTGCTGGCATACTGGGTTCTAGTCCCGGTTGGGGCACCGGATTCTGTCCCGGTTGCCCCTCTTCCAGGCCAGCTCTCTGCTATGGCCCGGGAGTGCAGTGGAGGATGGCCCAAGTGCTTGGGCCCTGCACCCACACGGGAGGCCAGGAAAAGCACCTGGCTCCTGGCTTCGGATCAGTGCAGTGCGCTGGCCGTGGTGGCCATTGGAGGGTGAACCAACAGCAAAAGGAAGACCTTTCTCTCTGTCTCTCTCTCTCTCACTGTCCACTCTGCCTGTCAAAAAATAAAAAAATAAAAAAATAAAAAAGAGAGACTTGAACCAACACCTATATGGGATCTGGCTTAACCTGGCTGTGCTACAACACTGGCCCTGAATTTCAAAATTTTTGACACTTAAATAAGCTTATCTTTAAATTTCATTTTTCCACAAGATTTTTGAAGCACCCTTGTGCAAGTTAACAGAAGAGAGAAAATAGCATGATTGCCTTGCATGTGCATATATATGTAATATAAATGTATGTATGTAAGGAGGCTTCAGAAAAGTCAGTTTCCAATGACTTTTCATTTAGCTTCATTAGCAGGGAGCTGGATCAGAAGAGAAGCAGCCAGGATATAAACTGGTGCCCATATGGGATGCTGGTGCCACAGGCAAAGGCTTAGCCCACTGTGCTATAGCGCTGGCCCCAAACTTAGGGTTTTTTTAGCCTTGTCTATTTCTGTGCTTGGTAAGAAAATGGTTATTTCCATTATCAGCTCATATTTCATAATTTGTAAACTTTCAATATTTTCCTTCAACATTTTCATTAAAAGATAGAAATAGTACTTTTTATATGGAAAAGTCTGAAAAGTTAAGAATGTTTTTGTCTATGATTCTATGCACCTCTGCAGACAAGTTATACAGAGATTTTTTAAAAAACTTTTATTTAGTAAATATAATTTTCCAAAGTACAGTTTATGGATTACAATGGCTCCCCCCCCATAACTTCCCTCCCACCCGCAACCCTCCCCTCTCCTACTCCCTCTCCCATTCCATTCACATCAAGATTCATTTTCAATTATCTTTATATACAGAAGATCAATTTAGTATATATTAAGTAAAGATTTCATCTGTTTGCACCCACACAGAAACACAAAGTGTAAAAATACTGTTTCAGTACTAGTTACAGCATTAATTCACATTGGACAACACATTAAGGACGGAGATCCCACATGAGGAGTAAGTACACAGTGACTCCTGTTGTTGACTTAACAATTTGACACTCTTGTTTATGGTGTCAGAAATCTCCCTAATCTAGTCATGAGTTTCCAAGGATATGGAAGCCTCTTTAGTTTGCTGACTTTGATCTTATTTAGACAAGGTTGTAGTCAAAGTGGAAGTTCTTTCCTCCCTTCAGAGAAAGATACCTCCTTCTCTGATGGCCTGTTCTTTCTACTGGGATCTCACTCTCAGAGGTCTTTCATTTAGGTTTTTTTTTTTTTTTTTTTTGCCAGAGTGTCTTGGCTTTCCATGCCTAAAATACTCTCATGGGCTCTTCAGCCATATCTGAATGCCTTAAGGGCTGATTTTGAGGCCAGAGGAAATCTGCCATTCTATGAGTATGCTGTGTATCCCACTTCCCATGTTGGATCGTTCTCTCCTTTTTTGATTCTATCAGTTAGTATTCGCAGACACTAGTCTTGTTTGTGTGATCCCTTTGACTCTTAGGCCTATCAGTGTGATCAATTGTGAACTGAAGTTGATCACTTGGACTAGTGAGATGGCATTGGTATATGCCACCTTGATGGCATTGTATTGGAATCCCCTGGCACGTTTCTAACTCCACCATTTGGGGCAAGTCCGATTGAGCATGTCCCAAATTGTACATCTCCTCCCTCTCTTATTCCCACTCTTATATTTAACAGGGATCACTTTTCAGTTAAAATTTAAACACCTAAGAATAAATGTGTGTTAATTACAGAGTTCAACCAATAGTACTAGAACAAAAATTTACTAAAAGGGATAAAGTATTACATTGTACATCAATAGTCAGGACAAGAGCTGATCAAGTCACTGTTTCTCATAGTGTCCATTTCACTTCAACAGGTTTCCCCTTTGGTGCTCAGTTAGTTGTCACCGATCAGGGAGAATATATGATATTTGTCCCTTTGGGACTGGCTTAATTCATTCAGCATGATGTTTTCCAGATTCCTCCATTTTGTTGCAAATGACCGGGTTTCATTGTTTTTGACTGCTGTATAGTATTCCATAGAGTACATGTCCCATAATTTCTTTATCCAGTCTACCGTTGATGGGCATTTGGGTTGGTTCCAGGTCTTAGCTATTGTGAATTGAGCTGCAATAAACATTAATGTGCAGACAGCTTTTTTGTTTGCCAATTTCATTTCCTTTGGGTAAATTCCAAGGAGTGGGATGGCTGGGTCGAACGGTAGGGTTATCTTCAGGTTTCTGAGGAATCTCCAGACTGACTTCCATAGTGGCTTAACAAGTTTGCATTCCCACCAACAGTGGGTTCGTGTCCCTTTTCCCCCACATCCTCGCCAGCATCTATTGTTGGTAGATTTTTGTATGTGAGCCATTCTAACTGGGGTGAGGTGAAACCTCATTGTGGTTTTGATTTGCATTTCCCTGATTGCTGGTGATCTTGAACATTTTTTCATGTGCCTGTTGGCCATTTGGATTTCCTCTTTTGAAAAATGTCTATTGAGGTCCTTGGCCCATCTCTCAAGTGGGTTGTTTGTTTTGTTGTTGTGGAGTTTCTTGATCTCATTGTAGATTCTGGTTATTAATCCTTTATCTGTAACATAGTTTGCGAATATTTTTTCCCATTCTGTCGGTTGCCTCTTCACTTTCCTGACTGTATCTTTTGAAGTACAGAAACTTCTCAATTTGATGCAATCCCAAATGTTAATTTTGGCTTTGACTGCCTGTGCCTCATGGGTCTTTTCCAAGAAGTCTTAGCCAGTTCTGATATCTTGGCAGTGTTTCTCCAATGTTTTCTAATAATTTGATGGTGTCGGGTCATAGATTTAGGTCTTTAATCCATGTTGAGTGGATTTTTGTGTAAGGTATAAGGTAGGGGTCTTGCTTCATGATTCTGCACGTGGAAATCCAGTTTTCCTAGCACCATTTATTGAATAGACTGTCCTTGCTCCAGGAATTGGTTTTAGATCCTTGATCAAATATAAGTTGGCTGTAGATGTTTGGGTTGATTTCTGGTGTTTCTATTCTGGTCCATTGGTCTATCCATCTGTTTTTGTACCAGTACCATGCTGTTTTGATTACAACTGCCCTGTAGTATGTCCTGAAATCTGGTATTGTGATGCCTCCAGCTTTGTTTATGTTGTACAAGATTGCTTTAGCTATTTGAGGTCTCTTGCGTCTCCATATGAATTTCAGCATCATTTTTTCTAGATCTGAGAAGAATGTCTTTGGTATCTTGATTGGTATCGCATTGAATTTATAAATTGCTTTTGGGAGAATGAACATTTTGATGATGTTGATTCTTCGAATCCATGAGCATGGATGATTTTTCCATTTTTTGGTATCCTCTTCTATTTCTTTCTTTAAGATTTTGTAATTCTCATCGTAGAGATCTTTAACGTCCTTAGTTAAGTTTATTCCAAGGTATTTGATTGTTTTTGTAGCTATTGTGAATGGGATTGATCTTAGCAGTTCTTTCTTGGCTGTGGCATTACCAAGTTATACAGAGATTTGAGGAGTCTCTCTTGAAATGTTAATAGCAAACCAACATTTAAACCTCTCACTTCAGGTGTGGGATATAGCTCTGAAGATTTTAGCAGCTTTGGTTTCCCTAAATATGTACATGTTTAGGTGGTTCTTGTCTTAATAAAACCTTTAGTATTTTCCCAGGAAATGTAGGTAAAAAATATCTTTTAATAGTTTTGAAATTAGTACTAAGTCAATAATGACAAGCAGTACAATTATCAAATTTATTCAGTTTTTTTACTTATTATTTGCCTATACAGCCGACCACTTAGACTTCGAGATTTATCACACTTGGTGTTTTTAAAAACCCTAGAACACAGAGGTGATAGATCAACTACGTGAGTGTGTTTTCTAGGGAGTAACAAAGGCTTGTCAGGACTGAAGTGGGAAAAACATGCTTATTCCAGCAACAGAATGCACTTGTTTGGTGAAGGCTGTAGTCTCCTTTTTTTTTTTTTTTTCAAATGTATTTATTTGAGAGATCGGGTGGGGAGAGGAAGGAGGGGAGAGAGAAGAATGGGGTGAGAGAGGGGGGGAGAGAGAGAAAGGAAGAGAGGGAGGAGAGAAGAAGAGAGAGGAGAGGAGAGGAGAGAGGGAAGAGAGAAAGAGAGAGAAAGAGAGAGGAAGAGAGAGAGAGAGAGAGAGAGAGAGAGAGAAACACTCCCATTTGCTCTTTCATTCCCCAAACACCTGCAGCAGGGAGAACTGGGCCATGGCCAAAGCCAGGAGCCTGGAACACTATCCAGGTTGCCCTTGTGGGTGGCACTTGAGCCACCACAGCCACCTCCCAGAGTCTGCATTGGTGGGAAGCTGGAGTCAGGAGCCAGAGCCATTATTGAACCCGGGCTCAGAGATGTGGGACATGGGCCTCTTAACCACCAGGCTAAACATCCCTCACTCTTCTGTCAACTGTTAACAAAGTTTTACCTCCCATTGCCATCAAAATGTCTGCATACTACAATGCCTTTAATTTTTTTATTTTTGTCTTTTTTTTGGCTTTGTGTTTTGTGTCCATGTGCTGCTGTGCAGAATTCTGTCAAATCACCTCTCAAGAGATCCAAGGTGGAGAAGGTGACCAACTTGCAGATCCTGGTTTTGTTCACCATGCTGCTGGTCATGGCCTTGGTGAGCTTTGTGGGAGAAGTGCTGTGGAACAAGCAGTACAGGGCCACCATTTGGTACCTAAACAACGGTAAGTGTGAGGATGTGGTAAGAAACTGCCTTTTTTTTTGAGGTTGTTTTGCTTTTAAACCTTACATTAGAGTCTTGTTTCTGTGCTTTTATTTAAAAAGGAAAGCACTTATTCTACTTGGTGCATTTTTGGGAAAGAAATAGATCACTAATGAGTATTACAAACAGCATATTATTTTCCCAAGATTTTTTAAAGATTTGTTTTTAATTGACAAATAGAAATTGTATAGTATTTATAAAATACAATAGGAAGTTTTGATACACCTATATGTTGTGAAATGATTTTATCATTTTATCAATGAATATACCCATCATCTTAATTAACTGAGATTAATTAAATTAATTAATTTATCAATTAATATACCCATTTTATCATTTTCTTGTGATAAAAACATAACATTTTACTTATTTTATTTATTTTTGTCAGATAAGTATTTTTTAATAATGGACAAAAACTATGTTGATACAACTTTGTTCCTCCACTTTTCAGTGTATTATTATTTTTTTTTAAAGATTTATTTATTTATCTGAAATGTAGAGTTACAGACAGAGAGAGAGAGTCTTCCATCTGCTGGTTCAAGTTCACTCCCCAAATAGCTGCAACAACTGGAACTGGGCCAGGACAGAGCCAAGAGCTTCTTCTGAGTCTCCCACGTGGGTGCAGGGGCCCAAGGACTTGGGCCATCTCCCACTGCTTTCCCAGGTGCACGAGCAGGGAGCTGGATCGCAAGTGGAGCAGCTGAGGCTTGAAGGCTACGGCACTTATCTGGGATGCTGGCGTTGTAGGCGGCAGCTTAACCCACCATGCCGCAGCATGGGTCCCTATTATTGTTATTTTTAACATTTTATTTCAGAGTAGTTTTAAATGTTTAAAACAAAAATTAAGAGGTCTTACTACAAATAGTTTCAATATACCCCTCATTCATTTATCATATTAACATCCCAAACTAATGTATTTGCCACAATTCATGAGCTATAGTCATTTTCTCCAATTTTTTAAAAATCTAAACTCCTTATGTGTTTTCCATCCCTCCCAGCCTCTAGTAATCAACAATATGTGTTCAGATTCAGCTTTTTTTTTAATGTTAGTTCCCACATATGAGGGAAAACATGCAGTGTTTGTCTTTCTGTGCCTGTCTTACTTAACTCAACCTGATATCCTCCAGTTCCATCCATTTTTCTGCAAATGACAGGAATTCATTCTTTTTTTTACAGCTCCATAGTATCCCAATGTGTATATATATATATATTTCCTATATGTGTATATATTAATTTCCTAAGATTTAAAAAAAGTGTTATTAATTAATTAATTACTTAATATAGATGTATATACCCCATTTTCTTTATCCATTCCTCTGATGGTAAGACACCTTGGTTGATTCCGTATCTTGGCTGTTGTGAACAGTGCTGCTATACACATGGTGAAGCAGGTATCTCTTTGACACCATGAGTTAATGTCTTTTGGGTACATTCCCAATAGTGGGATTGCTGGATCATAGGGCAGTTGCATTTGTAGTTTAAAAGAAATTTCTATACTGCACTAATTTACAGTGGCTGCACTACTTTACATTCCCCCCAGCAGCTTTGCCCACAGCCTTGCCAGTTTTGTTGCTCTCTCTCATTTGGATACTAGTCATTGTGACAGATTGAGGTGATGTCTGATTGTGGTTTTGATTTGCATTTCCATGATGGCAAGTGATATTGAGCATTTTTTCTTACGTTTGTTTGCGATTTGTGTTTCTTCTTCTTTTTTTTTTTGTTTAAGAATTATTGTATTTATTTGAAAGGTAGAATCACAGAGGGAGGTAAAGCCAGAGAGAGAGAGGTCTTCCATTCCACTGGTTCACTCCCCAAATGACCGTAACGGCCAGAGCTGAGCTGATCTGAAGCCAGGAGCCAGGAGCTTCTTCCAGGTCTCCCACATGGGTACAGGGGCTCAAGGACTTGGGCCATCTTCTACTGCTTTCCCAGGCCACGGCAGAGAGCTGGATCAGAAGAGGAGCAGCCAGGACTTGAATCGGCGCCCATATAGGATGCTGGTGCTGCAGGCTGGGGCTTTAACTCACTGCACCACAGTGCTGGCCCCCATATTTCTTCTTCTGAGAATTATGAAGTCCTTTGCCAATTTAACTGGATTTTTGTTGTTATTGTTGTTGCTGAGTTTTTGCTATATTCTGGATGTTAATCCTTTGTCGCATAAGTAACTTGCAAATATTTTCTTCCATTTTGTCAGGTGTCTCTTCACTCTACTGCTTTTTTCCTTTGTTGTACAGAAACTTCAGAGTTTGATATAATCCCATCTGTCTAGTTTTGTTTTTTGTTGCCTGTATTTTAGGGGTCTCATCCTAAGAGTCATCACCTACACTAATGTCTAAATGTTTTCCTCTAGCAATTTCATAGGTTGTGGTCTTCAGATGTCTGATCCATATTGAATTGAGTTTTGCATATGGTGAGAGGTGGGGAGCTAATTTCATCCTCCCATATATGCATATCCAGTTTTGCCAGCAACATTTGTTGAAAAGACTATCCTTTCTCTGCTATATGTTCTTGGTACCTTCATCAAAAGTCAGTTGACTGTTTTTGAGTAGATTAATTTCTTGATTCTCTATTCTGATCCATTGATCTATATGCTAAATTTTAAATCAATACCATGCTGTTTTAATTAATTACAATAGTTTTGTAGTATAATTTGAAATCAGCTATTGTGATATATTCGGGTTGTTTTCTTTCTCTTAGGATTGCTATGGCTATTTTCGGTCTTTTGTGATTTCATATCTAGTTCAGGATTGTTTTTTTCTAATTCTGTGAAGAATGTCATTGGTATTATAAGGATTGCATTGTATCTGTAGATCACTTTAGGTAATATAGACATTTTAATTAATTCTTCCAATCCAAGAGCAAGAAATATCTTTCTGTTTCTTGGGTCGTTGATAATTTCTTTTATCAATGTTTTATACTTTTCATTTTAGGGAACTTTCATTTCTTTGGTTAACTTTATTCCCAAATATTTGATTTTTTGGTATCTATTTTAATGGGATTTCTTTCCTGATTTCTCTTTCAGTGATATTATTGTTGGTATATAAAAATGCTACTTTTATTGTATTGTATTTATTTTGAAAGTCAGAGTTACACAGAGAGAGGGAGACTTAGATAAAGAGGGATCTTCTGGCCAGTGCTGCGGCTCACTAGGCTAATCCTCCACCTGCGGCACCAGCACTCTGGGTTCTAGTCTCGGTTGGGGTGCCGGATTCTGTCCCGGTTGCTTCTCTTCCACTCCAGCTCTCTGCTGTGGCCCGGAAAGGCAGTGGAGGATGGCCCAAGTGCTTGGGCCCTGCACCCGTATGGGAGGCCAGGAGGAGGCACCTGGCTCCTGGCTTCAGATCACCGCAGCACGCTGGCTGTAGTGGCCATCTGGGGGATGAACCAATGGAAGGAAGACCTTTCTCTCTGTCTCTCTCTCTCTCACTGTCTAACTCTGTCAAAAAAAAAGAGGGATCTTCCATCTGCTGGTTCACCCTTCAGATGGCTACAATGGTCAACACTGGGCTAGGTTGAAGCCAGGAGCCAGGAGCTCCATCCTGGTCTCCCATGTGGGTGGGAGGGGCCCAAACACTTGGGTCATCTTCTGATGCTTTTTCCAGGCCATTAGTGGGGAGCTGAATGAGAAGTGGAGCAGCTGGGACATGAACCGGTGCTCATGTGGGAAGCCAGCAGCATTGCAGGCAGTGGATTAATCCACTATGCCACAATGTTGGTCAGCAGGAGTATTGATTTTTGAACCATGCTTGCATCTCTGGGATGAATCCTGCTTGATCATGAGGTGTGATCTTTTTGATGTGGTGTTGGATTTGGTTTGCTAATATTTTGTTGAGAATTTTTGTGTCTCTGTTCATCAAGGATATTGCACTGTAGCTTGCGTGTGTGTGTGTGTGTTGGTGTGTTCTGTGTCTTGGTTAGGATTTGGTATCAGAGTGATGCTGGCCTTGTAAAAAGAGTTAGGCAGAGTTCCACCCCTTTTAATATTTTGAAATAGTTTGAAAAGTATTGGCGTTAACTCCCCTTTAAATGTTTTGTGGAATTCAGTAGTAAAGCCATCAGATCCTGGACTTTTCCTTGATGGGGGACTTAATTACTGCTTCAAATCTTGTTGCTAGTTATGGGTCTGTTTAGATTTTTCTCTCTCTTCTTGATTTGATCTTGGTAGGAAATTATCCATTTCTTTAAGGTTTTCCAATTTGTTAGCATATTGTTGTTCATAGCAGTTTGTTTGTTATCTTTGGATTTCTGAGGAATCAGTAGTAGTGTCTCCTTTATCATCTCTAATTGTATTTATTTGAGCTTTTCCTCTTCCTTTTCAGTCTGGCTAAAGGTTTGTCTATTTTGTTTATATTCTCCAAAAGGCAGCTTTTCATTTTGTTGACCTTTTGTATTTTTTTAAGTTTCAATTTCACTTGTTTTTGTGCTTATTCTTATTATTTCTCACCTCTTGGTAATTCCAGGATTGATTAGTTCTTGTTTGTCTAAGTCTTTGAAGTGAATCATGACATTATTTATTTGAGATCTTTCTATTTTCCTGATGTAAGCACTTATCACCATAAACTTCTCTCTTAATATTGTTTTTGCTGTGGCCCACAGGTTTTGATATATTGTGTGTTTGTTTTCATAAACATTTTTAAAAGATTTATTTAATTTATTTATTTAAAAGGCAGTATTACACAGAGAGAGGCACACGCACACACACACAGAGCAGAGAGAGACAGAGACAGAAAGAGAGAGAGAGAAAGAGAGATTGATTAATTGTATTTGCTGGTTCATTCTCCAAATGGCTGCAACCACTGGCTGTTTCATATCTCTAGGTCTGTGGTCCAGCACCCCTCTTGCCTCAAATACACCTCAAATCTCGCTTTGCATAGACAGGCACCTTCTACTCCTTAAGTAGGCCAAGATGAGGCATTACTTTCCAGGGTGGCATTTCTTCATTTCCTGATTTCCTCTGTCTTACTTACTACCTCCCTCTCCATTTCCATTTTTATTTACTGTTTATTTATATCCCCTCCCCACCAGATTTTGGATTTTAAAATATTATTTATTTTTATATTGGGAGAGAGGTTATGTGTGTGTATGACAGAGAGAGAGAGAGAGAGAGCGTGAGTGAGCCAATTTGCTGGTTTTTCCCCTAAATACTTACAGTGGCTCCAGGGCTGAAGCTAGGAACCTGGAATTCTGTCCAGGTCTCCCGTGTGGGCAGCGGGACCCCAGCTGCTTGAGCCATCACCACTGCCTCCCAATATCTGCATTAGCAGGATGCTGGAGTCAGGAGCCAGAGTTGGGCCTCCAGTGTAAGTCAAAACCATGTACTCCAGTGTAGGACTTGGGCATCCTGTCTTAACTGCTATATCCAACACCTGCCCCTAGATTGTAAATTTTTGAGGACTAAAATAATTATACTCTTAACTCCAAGAACAGTGTCTTTGCATAGTAGGAACTTGGTAATTAGTTGGCTAACTGACTATAATAAATAATTTAAGAATTGAGCCAGAACTCTATGGATTAGAAAGCCTCTTGTTTACTGAAAGGAAAAATGAGATTCTATATGTATACCAAAAACATAGAAAAAGTTAGTAGCTTCTTTGGAATAAAAACTCAGAATTGGCTCTAGATATCTTACCAGGATAATCTAGTCCAAATAAAGATAAGAACATTGGGTGATTAGAGTAGTAACTACATTTTCAGTAATTAATATATTTGACAAAGAGTAAAGATTTCATCTCAATTTCTCTGTCTATAAAATTGTCATAGCAACAATAGGTCTGATCTGATTTCATCATGATTTAAAAAAAAATCATCTATTATTTTTCACTTTATGTTTCTGTGTGGGAACAAACTGTTGAAATCCTTACTTAAGGTATACTAAGCTGATCTTCTGTATATTAAGATAATCGAAAATGAATCTTGATGTGAATGGAAGGGGAGAGGGAGTGGGAAAGGGGAGGGTTGTGGGTGGGAGGGACGGTATGGGGGGGAAAGCCATTGTAACCCATGAGTCGTACTTTGGAAATTTATATTCATTAAATAAAAGATAAAAAAAAAAAAGTCAAGTAAAAAAAAAAATTGTCATAGCAAGATATGTCTCTAGTTTCTGAGGATGACTATACCATAGATGAGAGTATATCATGGTAATAGGAAAGGTAGAAATTCAGTGATAGAGCTTGAATAGATGGGATAGTGGGCCAGTGCCGCGGCTCACTAGGCTAATCCTCAGTCTGCGGTGCCAGTACTCTGGATTCTAGTCCCGGTCGGGGCACCGGTTCTGTCCCGGTTGCTCTTCTTCCAGTCCAGCTCTCTGCTGTGGCCCGAGAAGGCAGTGGAGGATGGCCCAAGTGCTTGGGCACCTGCACCTGCGTGGGAGACCAGGAAAAGGCACCTGGCTCTTGGCTTCGGATCAGCACAGGGCGCTGGCTGTAGCGGCCTTATAGGGAGTGAATCAATGGAAGGAAGACCTTTCTCTCTCTCTCACTGTCTAATCTAACTCTGCCTGTCCAAAAAAAAAAAAAAAAAAAAAAAAAAGGTGGGATGGGGGATGGTGAATTGAACTTGACTTTTTAGGTTGATGGAATTTAGAAATCTAGATTTACTTCCTATTGTTCTAAATTCCTGGTAAGTTTTCTCTAAGAAAATAAATGAATATAAAATGAATATAAAATTTTATTTAGTAGAACACACCCTCTTTACCAAATAACTTGTGTTTAGCTCTTTTCATTTGCAACCCCTTCCCTGTAACAGAGTTATGAAAACTTAATATACATGATTGAAACACAGGTAGGCCTGGCACTGGGATTTTATTTATTTGAAAGAATTACAGAAAGAGGTAGAGCCAGAGAAAGAGAGGTCTTCCATTCCACTGGTTCACTCTCCAGATGACCACAACAGCCAGAGCTGAGCCAACCTGAAGCCAGGAGCCAAGAGCTTCTTCTGGGTCTCTTACACGGGTGCAGGGGCCCACGGACTGGGCCATCTTCCACTGCTTTCCCAGGCAATAGCAGAGAGCTGGATTGGAAACAGAGCAGCCAGGACTGTAACCCGTGCCCATATGGGATGCTGGTGCTACAAGCCGGGGCTTTAACCTGCTGCACCATGGCGCCAGCCCCTTCAGTGTGATTTTTCTTATGAGTGTAGCAAGACTTAGTACTGTGACCCCTCGCCTGTCTTCCGCAGCTCTTTTGAAGTGATTTGTATAGTTGTATAGGCAAAGGTGTGTGTAGCCATTCCACTGGGAGGTGGTTGCAGGGGGGTGGTCGCCGGAGCCTCTGACTTAGCCAGCACCTTGGTTTTACGTCCCAATCCTATCTCTTAATTCCATTTTCCACAAACCTTTTGGAGTACCCGCATAGATACTGTGATTTCCCCAGAGGCCACCCCACACTCTTTGACTTCACACCAACTTTATTTCCAGTGAGAAGCCTGCTTCATTCCCTTCCCCTCATCTCCTGCAGTTAGCAAACTCCTTCTTCAAGTGTTGCTCACTTCCTATTTGAAAATCCTGCCCTGGGCCTCCGTGCTATGCTGCTGTTGCCGTACTCAGCGTTCAGTGCCTTCATGGAATGCACCATGACGTAGTTGCTGCGTCAGCTTCCGTGTGACACTGCACCCTGTGTCCCTTTGGGCAGGGTCTGTGTCTTACTCAGTTGTGAATCTCATTGCTTCCCAGACTCCCAATTACATGGCTTGTATTTAACTGATACTTTTTTTTTTTTTTGACAGGCAGAGTGGACAGTGAAAGAGAGACAGAGAGAAAGGTCTTCCTTTTGCCACTGGTTCACCCTCCAATGGCCGCTGCGGCCAGTGCACTGCGGCCGGCGCACCGCGCTGATCCAAAGGCAGGAGCCAGGTGCTTTTCCTGGTCTCCCATGGGGTGCAGGGCCCAAGCACTTGGGCCATACTCCACTGCACTCCCGGGCCACAGCAGAGAGCTAGCCTGGAAGAGGAGCAACCGGGACAGAATCCAGTGCCCCGACCGGGACTAGAACCCGGTGTGCTGGCGCCGCAAGGCGGAGGATTAGCCTAGTGAGCCGCAGCGCTGGCCCTAACTGGTACATTTTTAAAGTATTTATATTTATGTCCACTTTTAAAAATAAGTTTCATGTAGAAAATTCTACAACCTTAAAAAAGTATTTATTTCTGTTTTATTTGAAAGACAGAGACAGATACAGACAAACAGACAGATAGGGAGATATCACCTATCCACTGTTTCACTTCCCAAATGCCTGCAACAGCCAGAGATTGACCAGGGTAAAGCTAGGAACCGCGAACCTAACCTGCTTCTCCCACATAGATGGCAGGGATCCAAGTACCTGAGATATCCTGCTAGTTCCCAGGATACACATTAGCAGGATGCTGGAATCAGTAGCAGGGTTAGGACTCGAACACAGACATTCCAGTATGGGATGCGGGAATCCCAAGATGGTGTCAAGATGATACTGAAGCTGTGACATGGTTCTTCTGATTTTCTTCCAGATGTCAGCTACCACAGCTTTGCTTTTGACATTTTGGTGTTCATCATCCTGTACCACAATCTCATTCCCATCAGTCTGCTGGTAACTCTGGAAATCGTGAAATTTATTCAGGCCCAGTTTATAAACTGGGTGAGTATTAAAATCAGAAATCAAAAATTTCTCTCTTGATCCATGACTTTTGTTTTCTTTTCTCTTTTAAAACAAATTTCTGTTGCTTTTTAATTTAGTTTTATTCATTTTAAAAGGGAGAGAGAGAGCGAGGGGGGGGGGGAATCTCCTGTCTGTTGGTTCACTCCCCAAATGCCAGCACCAGCTGGAGCTGGACCAGACTGAAACAAGGAGTCAGGAACTCAACCTGAGTCTCCCATGTGGGTGGCAGGAACCCAACTACTTGGGCCATCACCTGTTACCTCTCAGGATCTGCATTAATAGAAAACTGGACTCAGGAGCACAGCAGGGACCCAGGCCTTCCAGTACAGGATGCAGGTGTCCCAAGCAGAGTCTCAGCTGCTGCACAGAGCCTGCCCCTTGTCTTGTTGTGAAGAATCAGTATAGGCAGTTGAGTCCTTGTGATGGTGCTAGTACAGCCAGGGGTGACATATTCTTTTACTAGGAAACTCAAGCATCTGTGCCAACATGGCTCAGCAGTACCTGGGTCTCTGTGTTAACCTGGAGGACACCATTTTTCATATACTTTTTCCTAGTTGATAAGAAATATTTAAGAGAGAGTTGCTTAATAGCAAGTGTAGAGAGATACTTAATCCATTAAAATTCAAGATACTCAGTGGATGAGGTTAGGAGTGGATTTACAGATCTTGGTCAGAATGACAGAAACACAGTCATTACAGAATCACTTCAAATAAGGAAGAGGTTTCTTAGGTGACAGTCATGTACTGTCTGTCATCACTTGGTAAATTGGGACTGTACTAATTTTCCAGTTTGAATTGAGGGTTTCAATATTCAGTTGCCTTTTTAAATACTTTTCTTTGAAATAAAAGTATTGCTAAGTGTCATAATATTAACAATGTCCTCTCCTTATTTCAATGGATTGCATTCATTTGAAGGGGAATATACTTTAACAGCGACAAAGTGAGACAAAATGCTTTGAAATGTGTTCTTGGTTTTCACAAGGGTGCTGTAAGATTTGTGCTGTTGCTCCCATTTCATAGATGTAGTCACTGAGGCACAGAGATGTTGACTGCTGAAGATCCACAGCTTCCCTGAGGCAGAGCCAGGGATTGGAAAATCAAGTTTTCTAATTCCAGATCACCAACACATCAAAATTTCTTTCTTTGTTTTTTTCTAAGATTTACTTATTTTATTTGAAAGGCAGAGTTGCAGAGAGGGAGGGAGGGAGAGAGAGAGAGAGAGAGAGAGAGAGATCTTCCATCCACTGATTCACTCCCCAAATGGCTGCAATAGCCAGGGTTGCGTCAAGCCAAAGCCAGGAGCCAGGAGCTTCATCCAGGTCTCCAACATGGGTGGCAGGGGCCCAAGCACTTGAGCCATCCCCTGCTGCTTTCCCAGGCATATCAGCAAGCAGCTGGATCAGAAAGTGGAGCAGCCAGGACTTAAACCAGTGCCCCGTGTGGTATGGTGATGCCATGGATGGTAGTTTAACCTGCTGCGCCACAATGCTGGCCCCTCAAAATTTCTTTCCACATGGCCCTACTTTCTCCTGAATTGAGTCTCTTAACATATGGGAGAAACTAACATATATTGGTTTAATCCAAGTAGTCTGCATTCTCCTTTGCAAGTTCTTTCTGAATTTCAGTCATAGAGAAAGATTAGTATTTTCTTTCTGAAGAAATTTTGAGCCTCATTTTGAGTCTGATTTGGGCCATATTTTTCATTTGTTTTTCAGGATGAAGATATGCATTATAAAGTAAATGATGTCTATGCCATGGCCAGAACATCCAATCTTAATGAAGAGCTTGGGCAGGTGAGCGCCTCTTTGGGAATGGGACAATGTCATAGGAGCTTAAAAGAAGTCTCCAGGGAGAGCTTGTGCTAGTTAACCTGCTGGAGTCTGCCATGAAAGGGAGTTTAAATTGACACAAATAGGAATCTGGTGGGAATTTAAAAGTATCCTTTGTTCAAAACATTGTAATACACATCAGGGGTAATACAGCTGCAACATGGGTATCTGGTGATACTGCATCATGGGTAATGATGCTGCATCATGGGTAATAATATAGCATTATGGATAATACACTATGCATCATGTTCAAGCAGAGCAGACCTACTATTGGCTACTGTGTGCTTTTGAAAGAGTGAAAGAGCTGGAGGGGAAGGTAGAAGAACTTGCTTTTGACTCTTAGGCTTCCAGTTACCAGGCAGCGACAGGAACTTGCTGTGGGAGCCCTGAATTTCTTCTGCCTCAGCAGGTCACCCGTGGAAATCATCCCGAGGCTGACAGGAAATTTTAGAGACTGCCACAAAGTCTACACCTGCCAAACCCCTGTGTTTGCTTGCAGCTGCCAGAAGAGCAACAATAAAGCTTTACTTTTTAAAGTGGAATTTCTTCCAAAGACAGATCCTGACATGGATTCCTGCTGATGAAAGATGTGCAGAAATGTGGCTCCCTTCCCCCACCCCCGCCACGCCTCTAGGGCCTGGCATCCCATAGAAGGGGTTGAGAATTGTTTGTGCATTTGATTGGTTCTCTTTTTTTCTGCTTGTTTTCACTTAGGGTGCTTTGCTTTGATTATGACCCCATGATCCTTGGACTTTATTGGTAGGAGTTCTTTGAGGCCTGTTTGAAGACACTTGAGAATTGTGGCTTTGGTATCAGCAGGAGGTCCTTTGGATACGGAGAAAGGACTGTATTTAAGATCCTAATTTGGGTTAGACCTTTGATGCAACATTTAAAACATAGCTTGGATTGCCCACATCCCATTAACAGAGGTGCCTGGGTACAAGTTCCAGCTCCACTTCGGATCCAGTTTCCTGCTAATGCATACTCTGAGGGGCAGCAGGTGATGGCTCTAGTGCTTGGGTCCTTGTGGGAGACCTGACTGACTTCATGATTCCTGGCTTTAGCTTGTCTCTTCTCAGGCTGTTGCAGGCATTTGGGGGAATGAATCAGTGGATGGCAGATCTCTCTCCACATTTCAGATAAAAATAAACATTTTAAATCCTAAGTTTTTCTTTTTTATACTATATTGTTCTTATTTCTGTGAGAAGGGTGGTTAGTTCATTCACTGTTAGTTCATCATACTACATAAAATGGAAGATCTCTTTTGCTTTTTCATAGTACATTTTTTTCACTTCAGTATCAACTTCTGGGTACTTTTTTCCCAGGAGATTACCCATTTCGGCCAATTTAAAATGTTTTAGAGTTGCAAACAATATTTTAAAAATCTCTTTTGTGTCTGTGGTTGGATTTCCTTTCTTATTTATCACCTTACATATTTATCTTATTTATCTTCCCTAACAATGGGTGTATAATCTATATTACTGATCTTTTCAGAAAATCAAATTTTGGATTTATTAATTTTCCTACCAATTTGTTTTTCATTTCATTCATTTTGTTTTTCCCCATTTTTAACAACTTTTTATTTCAGGATAGTTTTATAATCACAAACCAAAAGTTGTGGGCTTGTACAAAGAGTTCCATATACCCCACACCTAATGAACCTTATTATTAACATATTAGTAGATTTGTCACAATCTATAAACCACAACCAACTTCCACTATTTTTAAAATCCAAAATCTCCCTATCCCTCCACCCCTGCTAGCCTCTAGTAATCAACACTTTGTGTTCATATTGAGGTGTTTTTCCTTGTTTTGTTTTTAGTTCACACGTGAGGAAGAATATGCTGTATGTATCATTCTGTGACAGTTTATTTCACTTAACATGATGTTGTCTAGTTCATCCATTTTGCTGCAAATGAAAGGATTTTATTCTTTTCTGTGGTTGAGTTCCATTGTATGTGTATGTATGTTCTGTTGTATGTATGTATGTATGTTCTATTGTATGTATGTATATGTGTGGGTGTGTAAGTGTTTGTGTGATATTTATCCATTCATCTGATGACAGACACCTTAGTTGATTCCATATCATGGCTATTGTGAACAGTGCTGCTATATGCATGGTGAAGCAGATATCTCCTTGATACAATGAATTCATGTCTTTTGAGTATATACCCAGTAGTGGGATTGCTGGGCCATATAGCGGTTCCATTTCTAGTTTTTTAAAAAAATTTTTCGTGCTGTTTTCCACAGTGGCTGCACTAATTTATATTCCCATCAGCAGTGTGTAAGAGGTCACTTTTTTCCACCTCCTCTACCATTTGTTTCTTTTTTTTTTTTTAAAGATTTTAATTATTTATTTCAAAGTCAGAATTACACACACACACACACACAGAGAGAGAGAGAGAGAGAGAGAGGTCTTCCATCTGCTGGTTCGCTCCCCAAATGGCTGCAACGGCTAGAGCTGCACTGATTCAAAGCCAGAAGCCAGGAGCTTCTTCTGGGTCTTCCACGTGGTGCAGGGGCCCAAGCACTTGGGCCATCCTCCACTGCTTTCCCAGGCCATAGTGGAGAACTGGATCAGAAATGGAGCATCCAGGACTCGAACTGGTGCCCATATGAGATGCCTGGCACTGCAGGTGGTGGCTTTGCCCTCTGAGCCACAGCACTGGTCCGCATCCTCCACCATTTGTTACTCTCCATCTTTTGGATAATGGCCATTCTAACAAGGGTGAGGTTTTGATATCATTGTGGTTTTTCATTTCCCTGATGGCTAGTGACATTGTGCATTTTTTCATATATTTGTTGGCCATTTGTATTTCTTTTTTAAAAAATATTTTGTTTATTTGAGAGGTAAAGTTACAGACAGTGAGAGGGAGAGACAGAGAGAAAGGTCTTCCATCTGCTAGTTCACTCCTCAAATGGCCGCAGCGGCCAGAACTGGGCGATCTGAAGCCAGGAGCCAGGAGCCTCCTCCAGGACCGACTCTCACCAAATTTTTTTTTTTCTGAACTAGAGAAAGGGACACACAGAGAGACTCGCGGAATCAAAGGCCTTCCTTTGCCTCTGGTTTGCCACATGAGGCCGCCGCTCAGGGTAGGGATGGGGATCCCCGATACGACGGATGTTTACCGGTCTTACAATAGGGCAATCATTTTATTGGCTCTCAATCCTCAACCGCCCTCCCGGGAATACACGTGCACCTAGCAGGGACGACGAGCAA